TCGGTGAGTGGCTCCTGGCCTTCCCGACTGGCCGGCCCCAGACTGTCAGGACTGGCAACAGGACTTCAGCCAGCATCATCACAAACACTGGCACCCCACAGGGATGTGTCCTCAGTCCCATCCTCTACACCCTGTTCACCCGCGACTATGTCACCTCCCACAAAGACAACACCATCACAAAATTCACGGACGACACCGCAGTGACAGGTCGCATCACTAGCGGGCATGAAGCAGCCTACAGGAGGGAGGTGGCCGGTCTGGTGTCATGATGCAAGGACAATAATCTCAGCCTCAGCACGGACAAGATGAAGGAGATGATAGTGGACATGAGGAAGGAGAGGAGAACTCATCGGCCGCTGTTCATCCAGGGGCTCAAAGTGGAGAGGGTGAGCAGCTTCAAATACCTGGGCATCTACATCAGTGAGGACCTCACTTGGACACATAACACCACACAGCTGGTCAAGAAGGCCCAACGATGGTTGTACTTCCTGAGGAGGCTGAGGAGGTTTGGCATGTCGCCTAGGATCCTTTGCAACTTCTACAGCTGCATCATTGAGAGCATCTTGACCAGCTGCATCACTGTCTAGTATGGCAGCACTACTGCTATGGACCGCAAGCGCCTGCAGAGAGTGGTAAAGACTGTGGAGAAGATCACCAGGACTCCACTACCCTCTCTGCAGAGCATTTACCACCACAGGGTGCATAGCTAAGCTGCCTCCATCCTCAAAGACCCCACCCACCCCCCGCACGGACTGTTCATACCCCTGCCCTCCGGTCAGAGGCTCAGAAGTGTGAAATGCAGGACCTCTAGACTGAAAAACTCTCTTTCCGACTGCCATCAGACTCCTAAACAGCTGACTCAGGATCTACCTCATGTAATTCCATCTGTACTGTTTACATACTCATTTTACACATGCATAATTGCAAACTCCCTGCTGAGTATTTGCACTCCACAGCTCCCATGTAGCATATATTCTCTCTGCATTATATTGTGTTCTGGTTGTATTTTTACTTGCTGCTTTAAAGTGCCTTGTGATTTTACTGCCTATTTAGATTTGTGTTATTGCTCATCTACTTTATATTTCAACTTTATATTTCATTTGTATTATGTGGCATTCATGTGGACGGCAAAGTAAGAATTTCATTGTACAGGGAAACATGTTTCCTAACTGTGCATATGACGAATAAACACTTTGACCTTGACCTTTGACCTCTGACCACCAAAATTTAATCAGTTTATTCTTGAGTCCACATGGAAATTTGTACCAAATTTGAAGAAATTCCTTCAAGGCATTCCTAAGACATTGTGTCCATCCGTCTGTACACCCTGAAAATATAATGCCTCTGACCGTGGCTATTGCCAACGCAGATGCACAAAAAAAGAGATGACTCCTGCACTTACATGTACTTTTGATCATTTGTCACATCATTTAGCCAAGAGGGCACCAAATTTAAAGAAGACAACTCTGGAATGACCTCCTCTTTTGGTTACCACACAGCCTGCACCTCCACCATATCCTGGACGGGTCTTAACACAGAGAGAACTTACAGCATATTATTGGTTTGAGCAACTGTAATGTAATTACTGTATTTCAAGTTGTAATCCCTTACACTACTGATTACTGAAACAACTTATCACATTACTGTTGTGTGAATGCTACTGCCCAATGTTGTAGTCAAGAAAAACCAGAAGAACACTTCAAGTTGCCCTGTGGGTTTTGTTTGTTTGTTTTTATTTTTGTGAACAAAGTAATGTTGACTGTTTTTCACTGGGAGGTCTTAACAAATGCATTGAGTACACTGCTGCACTCAGTTAGCTTCTCATAAAAAAAAATAATTTTTTAAATATTTTGAGACCATGAATGTCTAGCAGTCTGTTGCTATGTTTTATGTTTGTATTATGAGAGCACATAGACTTTACATTGGCATGACATCATGAAAATAAAGCTCCATTTTCTAAGCTCTGGGAAAGTTTTACAAAGAAACATTCATAATACAAAGAGTGAAAACTGACCTGGTTTAAAGTCATCTAACTACAAACACAATGTGTTGGTTGTAATAACCTGGCACAAACAACATACTGTATGCGGTGCATCCAGATTCCTTTATTTGATTGTTCTATGCTCCTCGACCGTCGCTTGACCCGGAAGTCTTATCCGTCCGTTATCTTGGAGGATGTCCCAGAGCTCTTATTCCTGCTCTGAGGAGTGAGGATGGAGGAGCGAGGATGCTTATCGCAAGTCAGTTGGGGATTGGATGCTTCAGATGAAGGAGTGGAGGAACAGATGTTTCATGTCTGTATAAATGTGGGTTTATTTTTATTCCTCTCCCATTTGCTCTTTACATCTTTTTCTTGCATCTCACGTGGGTGGGACTAAGATACAAGGAAAAATGATGGAAGTGAGGGAACCTTGGATGCATATAAGAGACCTGGAAGCAGATGCGATGCTAAGAAAAAATCCAAAGAACAATTGTGAAGAGAGAGGAAACGTGTTATAAGAGACGTGAGATGTCTTTTCCTTTAGTCCTTTATCTGAAACGTCCAATCACCAACTGATTCCCTGTAAAGGGGCATAGGTCCATAAAAGGTCCAAAAAATGCTTGCATGTATCCTCGCCCATGGCTCCTTAGCAGCCTCCTCAATCCTCACAGCAGATATAAGAGTCTTGGGATGTTTTCGACTGGAACGGCTTCCAGGTCAAGCAAGGATTGAAGGCCGATCATATAAAAGACTTCGGAAGCAGTCACAGAAACGTGGATGCAATTAAGGGAATTGGGATTTACCCATGGACTGATTTTTTTTTTACAGGAGGGCGCGTAGTTTTACTAGCAGTTACTTTTTACTTTTTGAGAATATCTTTATTGTCCCCAAACACAAACAAAAGGATTAGAAAGCTTTTTTTACTGTGCTGTGCTGAGATCACTGTTTTCTAGTACAAACATAATACAAGAAATAAACATGAAGGAAATATGTGCTGTACCTACAGTATGTAAATGGATACTGTGATTTCTATATGTTTGTATGCCATTGTTGGCTCTCATCTGAAGCAAATGAAAAACAGAAAGCAGCTCTATCCTTACTCTCTGTCGGTGTATCTGTCCATCAGTGTCGAATGCACAGGTTTGTGTGATGTGCCTGAAAACAAAGCTGGAAGGTAACAATGTACTCGAAGACTGTGTCTCATTATAATACCTACTCTCATGTCAAACACAAAGCAATGCCTTCTGATACCTGCTTTTTTACTATCCGTCCATATCCAGGAAGCTAAAAGCTGTAGATGTTCATATTGATGGCATTCTATTTTGTTCTTTTCCCCTGTTTCTCCAGGCATGCCTGATGATATTTCTCTAATGCCTAATGCAGTCTGAATGAACACACAAACCAAAACACACACACACACAGACTGGACTGACACTTCAAACAAAGCTTTTGTCTGCTGCCTGACAGCTATTCCTCTCTTCTTCCCCCTCTCCTCCTCTTCCTCCTCCTCTCATTATCCCCCTCACTTCTCCCTGTCATTCCAAAACACTCGGTCTACCCCCTCATCCCCCTCTCTCTCTGCCACACACACACCACACGCATTCAAAGGTTTATTCCTAATTGAGCTGGCTGGTTAAATGCTGGCTAAATAAAATACAAAGACTGAAAATATAAAGGGCCTTTTAAAACACCACTTGAGCTAAAGGTATAATAATCAGCAGTGTTTCATTTCTGGAAACAACAGATTAATAGGATGATTTATTTTAAAGCAAATTGTCATAATGACTCTATTACTGGCAGAGGTGTCACTAATAAAAGCCTGGGTTAAACTTTGATGTAAAATAAAACCCAAATCTCTCATCGGTTTTATCATCATGTTTGACGGTTTTGTGAGCACGAACAAAGCTGCACTGTGCCCACTGATGGGGATTTTACTTTCTGGAACAAAAGAATACCAGCACTTAATGGGGTCCTGATATAGAATTCAAACTGTGCTTCTTGTATAGACAAGATGCAAGAAGTTATTTTAAAGTTACTCTATTTTTTAAAATCCTTTATATTTAATGATTGTTTTAGACTTGAAAACAATGTACCAAGCAAATATTCTGGTGCAAAAATTTAACAAATTTGACCAAGTTGAACATTTTGTAGAAGATTTTCTCAGTCTTGATGAGATGAAGAGAGAATGTGGGTATACTGTAAGTGACTGGAAAACTCTGATTCTCAGAGTTTTATTACTTTCGTCTCCTTAGCCATAAATCACAGTCTTATTTTGAGTGTACTGAAGTCTGAACTCTTTGTCCTGAACCGTACCCCAGGAGAAATATGGAGCAACAGCTAAGATCAACTTAAGAGAAATGACCCCAGGAACTGGAGAAACTAAAGAACTTTTTCAGATCTTGTTTAA